GTTTCCCAGTTCAAATACTCGCAGGCTGTAAACTGCACTGACGGTTTCAGGGCAGAAGAGGCCGCTCTGCTGAACAGCTGCTGTTGAGGGACATTAGGTTTTAGTGTCTGTCTCCTAATTATTCTAGACATTTCCTGAGGGGTTCCGTCATTAGTTCAGAGAAGTGATACAGATAATAGTGTGTGTGTGTTAGTCCATTAGAATTAAAGGGCTTCACACATACTGTATGCGGTGGCTCAGTGGGCAGGGATCCACCCAAGAGGCACACCTTTAATTCCAACTGTTTGCAGAAAACTTTGACACATTACCAGGCACCGGGCCCTACGAACACAGTGTTGTACTGTATGACTCTAGAATATTACATTTTAGTGTGTAATACCAGTACTGGCCAGTATGATTCTATCATCTATGAGAGTTAGGACTGTCACTTTTCACAAAATTCCCCAAAGAAATAGACGGAGAGAACTCGTCCTGCTCAACCCTTGGTTTAGTTTTCCTGCTAACAGGAACAAAGTTCAGTCAAGGATTACTCAAGGCTGATTTGTCCTTTTTTCTTTTAAATGTACAAATGCATATCTAACCTTTGGCTGGAAAGTCACGTCCCCATTAAGTGTCTACATGGTTAGAGCTGAGTTCATTAGAACTGAAGTCCGATCATTTAGTTTGATCAATAACTGAATCACGTCTGAGAAAACGGCAGAGAAATTGAGGGACGGAAAATTCCTTCTTTCCTTACATTCTGTGATTACACCACCCACTGTGTGGCAGTGGAAATATCTCCATGTATGATCAGCAAAGGAATGCAACAAGTTCACACTGGCTCTCTGTAGGTCTGCAGTTTGTCCGATAGACGTGGTGGAGGAAATTCCAGCACAAGAAAAAAAAAAGCAGTAGTTGAAGCTGATGAAGCTAAAACAGAAAGAGAAAGAGCTCCAGCTGAACCCCAGTCCACCCTGTTGGTAAAGATGCTCCTGGACCTGTCACCTCCTCTGACTATAAATAACCCTCCGTGTGGGGAAAATCCAACGCCTGTGGTTTCATTACAGCGATGGCAACAAAAATCTCCCGGGGTGATGGAGCTGCTGCTCCTCCGGTCGCCCGGCTAACACATTTAATTATGTTAAACTGAGCTGCTGCTAATCCTTCACAAAGACCTGCTGAGAAAGGAAACCAGGGTCACAGTGCTGTTTAAAACTGTGTTGAAGTTTAAGTTGATTTGGTACTGAATTCATGTGCAACCATGAATCCGTTACTAGCTTATGCTAACTGGTTTGGTAGTTTTATTTTTACTATTTTTTTGTTTCGTGTGAGTTACCAACATGTGAGTCCTCTGGTATTGAATCATCAGACTCTCAGTCATTTCAGGGAGCAGACGGTTCCACTGTGGAAGCCGACCTTTTTGCAGGAGACGATCTGTTGTGTCGCCTGTGAGGAGTGCTCTCAGGGCCAGATGTTTACAGCTACCGCACGCCTGCGTTATGACTCTGTTTGTGACGTAACTCTCCTAGCGTCTCCTAGTGACTATCAATGTTTCCAAGAGACTCCTGATGAAAAGGAGAATCCTGTTTTGAGGAAGTGTCATGTGGCCGCACATACAAAAACATGCCTCAGCCAATCAGTGCTTTGCAGCTGCTAGAATGTGACATTTTCAGCCTGTTACTCTTGTAAAAACAACAGTAATCAGACTTTAAAAGCCAGGACGACCTAGACCTTCAAGAGGTGAACACGATGTACAGACGATGGCGGCTAACAGCTTCTCTTGTTATACTTTGAAATGCAAACAAGTTCATTTGGTAAAGGAATAAAAAAAGAACATAAACACCTTTCATAGAAGAAATTCCACAATTTGTTCATTTTTTTTCTAAACAACCAAAAAGAAAGCACGTTTATCCAATGGCTAACTCAAACCGAGAGCCAAAGTTAACTGAAACTGCTAGTTTGTAGTTGCTCTGGTGCAGATTACATTTCTGACCAGATTAATAATTGATAAGGGAAAGAAAAAATAACCCATATAAACCAGACCAAGTGCTGTGGGGCCAGGAGCCAGACTTATTGAACAAGGATATTCTTTTTTTTTTTTATCACGTTCACATTCTCCAGGGAACATTTTGCTGCCTTTTAGTATTTCAAAAAGTGTGAAAATGAATCAAAAAGAGCAAGAGATAAAAAAAAAAAAGGATCCGACTCTTCTGTCAGAAACACAGAGAGAAAACCCGGATCTGCCGAGGCAGCAGAAACCTCCACCTAATGAGTGATTAAATTTTACAGTTTTTACGTTAGCTGCTGACACCGCAGTCTGGATATTTAAAAATCTTTGGCACGGCCTTGGCTAAGAATATTGATTAGGATTAATTGAAATATTTTAGTGCTTGGTTTAAATCACGACAAAGTTATGAGGAGAAGGGTTTCACAGAGAGCGTGGTCGCGTTCCTGCCAACTCCCCATAAATCTGCACTGCTGGTTCTCCTTCTGTCAGTTCCAGCATTGGAGATAAAACACCCTTTAATCTGCTTCCTCTGTTTCTTCTGTGTCTTCTGCAGGATCTGCACTTCATTCAGTGTTTTATTGGTTCTCACTTGGTCACTTTGCCAAAAGCTTAGCGTCCCTGAACACACAGCAGGCTTTGGGTCTGGACAGTGGGTCAGAAATCCAGATTGGGTCGGACTTGTCCATTTTTTGTCAACTGAGAAACTGTCTTTGATGTTTATGGACCTGGACTGGCAGGTGTTCGTCTTTGCTTCTTCTTTTGGGTGTCAGGTCAGAATCCTGAGCCGTGTGATTCTTATTATTCTTTATCCTTGTTTATGCAGCACCTGTTCATGTGTTGCTTATCAACTGAACCACGGTGGTTGATGTTGTTTGTTTTGTTCCTGACCAACACAAACAGTTATGACATCATTTCTCAAATGACTGCAGACTGGACAACTCTGAGGTCCTGACTGTGACGCCTGTGGCCCACGGGCCGCTATTTGAATAGGTAGGCCATGGGCCAATTGTAAATGAACCTCATTCTCAACCACAACGTATCATGGTAGTCAACAAGCCTCACCCCTGTCTCTGTTGTTGTACTTGTATCATTATCTTGTATCTCTTGTCAAATACTCTTTTACTTCTCAGTCGCCTCTTGGAGATAAGATTTTCTTTTGGTTTTCTTTCTTTTCTAGTCTGAAGCACTTTTGTTACTGCAATTCAGTTGGGATCTAGATTTTTTTTTCTATGTGCATTTTTATAGACTCCACCTGGCAGGTGATTAACTCTGCTTCTTCTGAGTGCCTCACCCTCAGATCTGCATCTTGAGCCTTAGGCTTGTCCTTTATGCTCTTTTTTTTAAACTAAGACCTATACGTCTCTTCCTTGCTTTTTTACAATGGAGACAGAAATATATGATATAGAACAATATAACCTATAACCCTGTCACTGCTGTTATTGTCCTGTTGAAAGGCAGGGCTGAATACCATTTCAATTCTCTGTCTTCATCAAAAACCCACAACACGGACTGTGTCGATCTCTGAGTGAAACAGACACAGAGGCCGTTCAGGTCCTGTTGGTTCTTGTAGCTCAACATGACGACCAGCGTTGGTCTTGAACACATTGGAAGTCTTCATAAATTTCAAGATTTATGCCGCCACATTATGAAAACTAACCAGAAGGAGGCGCAGGTCATGTCGACATCATCCACAAAGAGGGACCGTCTGACATTTCCAAATAGAACACAAACAGAATGGCAGCTTCACTGTGACCCATCAACTGAGCGATGCCTTAAATGGAATACAGATTAAATAGAGATGAGCAGAGCGTAGAGAAACTGGTGACCAATTTCTCCCAACAACGCCACCTACAGTATTCTCAAGTCTTAAAGTGTCACAGTTAATATTCCACCCAGTAATGTAGAACCTCCTGCCTCTCCTGGTCACAGATGTTCCACCAGTCCAATCAAGCCGCTCTGCTGTGACTGTTAAGTGGCTTTTGTTTTCTGGGCAGTAGAGGGCAGGCCAGGAGAGGACAGAGCCGGCTTTCATGGATCCCGGGCTCTGCTCCTACAGGTCCTCCTCCTCCTCCTCCTCCTCCTCCTCCTCCGTGGAAACACTGTTCCTGATGTTAAGGCGCTGGCTGTAATTAAGTGGGGAACCCATAAAGAGGCGTTCACAGCAGGGAGTATGTAACGGCCCACTCCTCATGCTAGCTTTTTTGGGGCGGCTGAGATCCTGCTCCAGATGTTTTCCATTAGCATGACTGGGTGCCAGTGATGCCAGAGAATGAGAGGCCCGCTACACCTACCATATACAGTACACAATGCTCCAGTGTGTGGAGGCGCGTTGGAGAGAGTGCAGGACTGGAGATTAACTACAGGGAAAGGTGCACCGACCAAAACCCTTTAGCAAAGCTCACATTTATACTGGGGGGGCGGGGTCACTTTACTGGCCCGAGAACATAAAGTAGTTCCGTTTAGTTAGGCCAGGTTTGATGAATACTAATATTCATAGATCTGGGAGTAATTGACTACTGTGAGTGAATATTATCTTGTGCTATATTTCCCAACACTTTAGTGCAGGGCTGTTCAAATGAACAGGAGCTAACAATAAGATATGGACCAACAAATATATGGACCGTCCTTCCACTTATCCTTTCTCCTTGAACCAGCTGTGGTCTTTTAGTCCTTCCACTTATCCCTTCTCCTTGAACCAGCTGTGGTCTTTTAGATACATACATACATACATACAACTGTGAATTGGATTGTGAGGGACTGAAGGCGGCTGTCAATTGGATTGTGAGGGACTGAAGGCGGCTTCATATTGTTGATGACAACAACTCTCCATCTTATCTTACGTATCTCCCACATCTTCTGTATTTGGTTAAGTAGCACATTAAAACACGTCATCACAGTTTAAACTCTCCGGACCTTGGACAGTGTCGCTGCCCTGGACTGTTACTGTTACTGTTACTGTTACCTGGTGTGTCGGTGTAGCACTGACCGGTTGTTGTCTCTCTTTTCTATGCAGACATTTACAGCGTGGTGTAACTCTCACCTGAGGAAAGCAGGAACGCAGATCGAGAACATCGAGGAGGACTTCAGGGATGGACTGAAACTCATGCTGCTGCTGGAGGTCATCTCAGGTACAACGCTGCTCTTCACAGCATCACCTCACCTGACTGCAGAAACCCAGGATGAGTTTAGCATTTTAAAATCTAAAGAATCGAATGCTCGCACTCTCGTATTTCTCCAATTCAAACCACATCACATCTGAGGTTGGACTGGCCAGCTTTGTCTTTTTAAGATAAAAATGGGTCCAGAATACACAGAAAAATGGAAATTCTTTACCTCAGATTTGACTGGAATGGTGAAAGCAGCTGCAGCAGAGCCAAACACCCTTGTAAAACCCAGAAGCTGAGGACAAAATAAATAAATGAGACCTCAGGCAGCCACAACCACACACTGTGGGAATGAAAACGCTGTTGATTTTTCTCTCCTTCTATGGTAAGCTATGTCTGGGCTCACCAAAACTCGTGCTGACAGTCGGTTTTTGTCTTGCCAAAAAGAAGCCTGGCAGTAAGTTTTTTGCTTCCCAAAACGACTGCTGACACCTTTAGAAAAACCTGAGCAAGCAAAGTCCAGCACCTAACTAATATGATGAGCTTTTTGGCAAACTCTTTAAGGCACTACAGTACAGTGTCTTAAGCTGCTTTGGCTGCTAAACAAAAGCTGTGCTGACTGTCATTTTCTGCCTACAATAAACGATGACGTTCAACTTCCTGTTTCCCAAATCTTCAGCTGACAGAATTAAAAAATACTTAACTGACAATACGGACTAAAATATACTGTGTATCCGTATACTCAGGTGTGTTGGTGTATTTGTATGTACTGTGTGTTTGTTTCTATATCTGTATGTCTTTGAAGAAAATATAATAAAAATCCACACTGTAATGCTGTAAACAGGACTCTATAGCATTAGCATTTAGCTTAGCTCTGATCATTTCAAACTGTTTGTCTGATTGTTTATATTTTAGAACTTTTTCTTCACAATGTAAAACTAACATATATGCACCAGGAACTTATATATGTGTTCATAAGAAATAAAAATAATAAAATAGGAAAATATGTCGTTTCTTAATGCTAAGCTAACAGTGCCACACTGTTTCTATAAAAGTGAAATAAGTGGGATTTACTGACAAACTTTTATGACTGATTAAACACCAGCCTTAACTGAATTATTTTGGCTTCCAAACGACTCATATATTCCAGTAAAATATAAAAAAAGATGTTTGCAGCTAATGTTGGTACTTAGAGGAAGTGCCAGCCTCATTCATCATGCTGACCGCTACATCTTTATTTTTAAAAGGTGAACGCTTGGCCAAACCAGAACGAGGCAAGATGAGAGTCCACAAAATCTCCAACGTTAATAAAGCACTCAACTTCATCGCAAGCAAAGGGGTGAAGCTGGTGTCCATTGGTGCAGAAGGTAAGGGACAGGAAGTGACTGAACCGACAGGTTTACTCAAGTAAAAGAGCTAAAACCACACCACCAAAACATCCCCAATTAGCCAATCAGAGAGATCGATATCTCCTGTTGTGTTGAGGACGGTTTTGGATCACGTCCTTCGGTCTCCTCCCGTTACCCCCGCAGCTCCACCGGCTGCTGTGCAGTTAATGAGATCCTTATTTCACAGTTTTCCGGAGAAGGTTGTGCTTTGCGGTGCATTTTCTGGGAGTAGATTTTAGGATCAGCAATGCCCTCTGGGTATGAGGCTGCACATTGTTCAGCACAAATAACCCTGGGATGTCTGTTCTTCTCTTCCTCCTCCTCCTCCTTCTCCTCCCATCGGAGCGTAAACAAGTCGTAAGCAGAGTAAACCCTCTTTCTATCTGTCTCTCCGTAGCCGTGAAGCTCTGCCCGTTTCTGAAACAGTTGAAAAATCTAAAGCTGTTTCAGAAATCTGTGTTTGTTTTCCTAATTTCTGTTGGTAGTTTAAGTGTTAATAGTTGAGGTCAGTGGTTTTCAAGGTGTGGGGCGTGTCTCACCTAGGTTGCCGGGGTGGAGATCAGTAGAGATGGAACATGAGGAAAAAGCGATATCATGCAGAACAACATCTCAGGTCATTTCTGAAGCTGTGAAACTCAAAAATGAGAAAGAAATCTCTGGTCATTTCTGAAGCTGTGAAACTCAAACAGTACCTACTTCAGTACCTACTTCAAACTCATTGTGTTTATAAAGGTGAGGGTGAAGTTTTGTTCAGATTGTGTGGGTTTGGTGTCCACAGGAGTGCAGTATGTCAGGGTTCAGTGATAGCTCCCTTTAGCTCTGCTAGCCATGTATAGGACTTAGACTGTTCCCCGTCTGTGCTTCCACTTCAGCTAGAATTCCCCCTGAAGACTGTGTCATTCAGTTCTCTGGAAGTGGACCAGGTTTTTATCATCTCTTACCATTTCCTGTTTGTATTCAAACTGTAATGCAAAACCACATTTCTCCAGAGCAGAAGCTCTAGCTATTTTGGTCGGACGTCTGTTAGAATGACAGTTAGCCAAAGTCTGATTTTTTTTTTTTGCTGGTTTTTATTCACGGTGGTTTCATCACAACAGTAATTATCTTCATATTCATCTGTAGCCGTGTTCTCCTTTTTTTTTAAGATTTTACATAGAGTTTTCTAACCGTCCAGGAAGTTCAAGCTCATCAGTATAAAGATAAATATATTTATGTAGCTATTATACGTACTATAGAGAAGATAAAATAATCCTGTTTTTTCCTTGTAGGTGTAACTGAAGCAGACATTGTCCTGGACTAAAATATTTTTATTTTTATTTTACAAGAAAAATATTTATAATCTGCTATCTGCTAACAAAGGCTCACAGTGGTAGAGATCCTGTAAGGATTATGCAAATCATTTGTCATAAATTGAATTAATATAAAAATACACCGTGGAAACGCTACGGAAAATAGTCAAAATATTTTGTCTTTCTGTGAACACACACTAAACTAAAGTTAGGCCAATATCGAAGGCTAAGTCTAAGTGGAAACACTAGCTTCCTAGAAGTCACGACCTAAACCTAAATAATATCTGAATACCCAAAATTGAACTAAAGTTAGGCCAATATACAAGGCTAAGTCTAAGTGGAAACACTAGCAGAGGAGCTAAAAGTTAGCAAAATGACAGAACGGAATTTGATAAATTCGTCCAAGATCAGCGGCCCACACTGATGGAGAGATGGAGTCAGGACCCTTGACTACGTATATATTATGAAGAAGAATCATTTTGTCGCTTCCTTCAGCAGGGGGCGCCTCAGCTACAGTACAGGGCATAGTGATTTGGACAGGTTGCTTTTATTTATTCAACCCAACCTGGGGTTGGTGGCTTGTTGGAATTGAACCACGAACGTTTTACATGGCAGATGGATGTGAACAAAATACAATTATATATATTTATATAGTTTTATTATTTACACACAGATATATATACACACACACATTGTAAAAATGACTTCCAAAATCTCATGCATATATATGTGTGTATGTATGCATATATATATAAACGTTTGTTTTCTTTTTTATTTGACAGTGTTTACTGCTAACCCTAATGAGAAGCATTAATGACATGTTTTCATTTGTGATGATTCAGTGGTTTGAGTCGTTAATCCATCAGCAGCTTCAGGCTCTGACTGAACTCCACTCTGTCTCCACTCTTTTCACTGTGTCCTGTCAATAATGGACATCGTCAGACGCCTGTTTGTCCCACCTTCAATAATCACTTCTTCCCCATTTAATCCAGTAAAGTCTACGGGGAACGGCGGCTCGGCGGCTGCTGGACTGTGATGGACAAACTGGACAGTGTGAGGTGTCACTCAGATGTTCCTCTGATTTTACGCAGTGTGAAAGAAGAGTTTGGTTCAATTATGAGGTAGAAGATCATGTCCAGAGGAGGTGTGATCTACGGGACTGGTCAGCCGTGGTCAGGGCCACAGATCCTGTTAAGGCAATATAAAACTGTCTCCCCCTCCTCCCCTTCACCCC